CTTAAATTTTGATGATAAGGCCAATTTTCATAATCATTTTTAGTTTGAGGTTTAAACTGAATAGTTTCCTTATAGACTAAAGTCACTTTAGTGTAAGTGTTTGATTATGAAAATGGGCGNAAAAAAAAAAAAAAAAAATTAGTTGTTGGGATATTTTTACAAAATATTCTTAAGTAGACAGGCAGCAGTGCGGATGGGGGACTTCCCCTTATCAAAACGCCACAGTAGGCCACTGATTTTTGTGTCATTAAAGTTAAATTTCGAGATTAAATTGACTCCTTCTGCAACCAGTACCATTCCTGGAAGTAGTGACTTTGACTATGATGACCAGATCACGGGTGGTGCCCGTAACTTAAGAAACTCTGAGGGGGGGGGGCAGAATTGAAATTATGAGTAAAAATATTTTTATTAACGCGCTTTTAAGCAAACTTGAGAAACTTTCAGGGGTTTATTTCTACTGAAAAATTAATGGTTCCCGCTATCACGGAATAATTGAGTTATTCTTTTCTTTTTATTTATTTACATTATATTTATTAATTTTAAATTTTGCTTTTTTAGCGACATGCTTAGTTTACAAGATCGTTTGATTTTGTTTCATTAAGCAAGTAAAAATGTTCGTGTTCACCCCATGCCGAAGCAGTTTTCGTTGATTGTGTTATTATTTACATTTGTAGCAAAACGGCGTCTGAGAAGCTCTACATTGAAGTTCACATTTTTTAAAAACATTTAAATATTTTTTCAAAAAAATGCTTCTTTTCTGTTTCATGAGCATGTTTGCTTTCCTCCCTTTCCCAAATTAAAAAGATTACAATCGTTTCGCGAAGGAAAGCAAACAAGCATATTTTTGTTCCACTTCCTTCGAAAACTCAAATATAAGAATTAGTTTGTCAGAACGAATATTTCAATTTAATGTTTTAAGGAAAGAGAATGAATAAATCATTTCCTTATCGGACAAAATTCTACACTCTTGAAAAAAAATTCTGATATTTAACATTATTTATTCGCACATGTAATATACTTAATAAACAATTATTACAATTATATATGGTATGGTACTCAGTCATTTCAGTTGTGTTGCTAATTTAAAATTTAACAGAGAAGTCCATTTATTGTAGTGCTGCCATCTGTTCGTGGCATATGATACTAATATCCAATGCATTTTTCAGAATCTTATTATTAAGAGCTGAAATTTTTTTTAAGTATTTCCCATAATACGTACAATATTTAGTTTTATAAAAACTAAAAAAAAACTAATTAACTTTTCCTACTAAATAATGTATTCATAATTAATCAATCAGTTTTTTATTTTGCTTTAAATTTTAATACATATAAGAGTAAAGAATTTATATTAAATTATAAACCCTTTATCGTAACTATATAACATGACACGATAAAATTTTTCAAAAAATGCTCATATAAGGAGATAATTCTGGAAAACTGAAAAAAAAACATGTTTAGTCCAAAGCATGCTTAGCTCAGAACATATATATATATTACGCGAACATAAAGGAGGAAAATGAAGGATTCGAACATAAAATAACGCGAACTAAAGGGAGGTTACTGGTTGTAACAAATGCTATAACTCTCGGAACCCCTTTAACTTTTCCTTGGAACCCTTAAGGTTCTACGAAACACCATTCTGGAACATTTGCCCTGAGTTATCATGTTAAAATTACTAAATTTTACCTCATATACTAAATTTACTATAAAACCATATTTTATAGTAAATTTTACCAAAATCATTACCAAAGCGTTTCTGAAAAATTACAGAGCTTTGTGTTCCTACACTCTGTAAAAAATTCCGGATCTGTAAATTACTCTAATTAAATAAATATTATTAAATTAAATAAATATTACTAAATTAAATAAAATTTATTAAATTAAATTTAAAAAAATGCGGTAGAATGATGCACCTAAAGTGCCGTTACGTTAACCTAAATTTATTATTATTAAGGTTTTTTTCTTTTTCGGGAATTTTTCACACTTTTTTTTGCTTTATGTTACATTTTGTTATTTCACCCAAAATCAAAATCTTAGAAGCTTGAAATTATGAAGGTGTGTTAAAAATTCACAAAAGTACAATGGAGAAAAAAAAAATTAGCATTCGAGGATTAATTCGAGAATTATTAATTGCTAAACTTGTAGTAAAAAATACCATGTGGTCCGCTCTGCAGACCTCAGAAATGCAATTACTGAGTTGAAATTAGACATGATTCAGAGAAATTCAATTCATTCTAAATTTTCCGAAAGTTATTGAAAGAGCTTTGCTTTAAATAATGATTATTTATCCATTGTGGACGAAAGTTTTCTCTCAAACAATTTTTATTTTTTAAGCTCCCGCTTGACTTGATGTCAAGGGTAACAAATAAAAATAATAATTAAGCTTAGAGAGTGAAAGATTAAACGTTTCCAGACGTATATTAACATTTACATTTGTATGGAAATTTTGAAAAATATAAAAGGTTCAAGACAGTTAAATACTGTTTATATATAGAATCTGCATGGCTATAAGATAAAAGTTTATTGTTTTACATGGTTAACAAGTAAAATTCATTTTAAATTATTACTTCGTATTGTATAATGCATTCCATATTCCTAAGTTTAAGTATTTTTTCTTTTCAAGTGCAGTTGCTTATTTTTAAAATCTTGTTATCCTTTCATTTCATTACGATGAATATTTTAACAAAATATGCAAACTCAAATTTATAATAATTAATATATTTTTGACAAATTGCTTTTTAACGATTTTAAGGAAAAAAACAATGATGAATGGAAAGTAACCACGGGGTTGAGTGAAGCGAACCGAGGATGAAGCTTTATAGTTTAATAAAAATATTAATTAAAGAAGATGAATTAAAATTAAATTAAGGAAGGTGTTTCAGTAGATATGATGTAAAATGAGTAATGAATAGAACCTAAAATTTCATTCATTTTTTTCTGACAAAAAATTACTACGAAAAAAGAAATTAACACTGATGATGAAACAATGTAACATCAAGACGAGGTATAATGCTTTATTATAAAGAAACTTAAAATAATATATGCATATAATAATGATAAATGATAATAAATATATTCTTAATAATGGTGTTCAACAATGATAGTAAAATAAATTATACAAATAACACAGATATACATAGTCAGATCATTAATCTAAATTGAATAAATCTTTAATTATTTTAAACATAGGTTTATAATCGCGAAGTTCAATTGGAATAAACTCTTCTTTTTATGTATCGTGGTGTTTTTATCATTATTACTCCTTTAATAAATTTATGTATTGTTAAGCTAAAACTTCACATTATTTATTACATTTTAGTTAGTATTCAAATAGTATTTATTTAAAGTCAGATAAGTATGAGCACATTTTGTTGAGCTTTATTGCTCAAAACCTTATTTTTTTTATTTAATCGATATAAATACATCAATCGAATTATATTTTTATATTTAAAAAGCAATGCAACAATATCTTAAAAAACATAATTTTAAATGCAATAATTACTCCAAATTTTTAAAAAAAAAAATCTATCGATTTTAATATGGGATAAGACTTAGTTTAAATTGCCTTCTGTTTTCAGCTGAGCAATACAACATTAGGTAGATAAAATTTTAATTATATTACATTAATTATTAGATAAAATGATGCCGTTGATCATATTACATAAATTAATTAATAGATAAAATATATCATATTACATAAATTAATTAATAGATAAAATATTAATACTCTTTTAAATTTAACTTTATAGCGTAATCTTTTGGTGTTATATGTAGTTTATTAATAATTATGATTATTATTTTATCACTTTAGCAGATTTTATTAAAGAATACATTTTACTTTGCTTTAAAACTCATTGTCTACTAGTTAACGATGAATAAGGTATTTTTAATTAGCTACAATAGTAAAATACGAAAATAACTAATATTACAATTTACAATTTTTCATGTAATGTATAGTTCAATGAGCGATTTAGGGTTTTAAAATATCTAATTAGCTTAATTAAAAAATACATGACAATAAATATAATTAATTAAAGCAATTAAACAATGTGCTTTTTGTATAATAAGTATTATAAATTTCATTCATACAGGATGTATAATTGTATAATAAATTTCATTTCTCAGTACAAATATTCTTTTTAATATTAAGTACTATATTTACTTCTGAGAAAATATTATCTTGTAAGTTTTTCTTCCTCTACTTTTATATAAAAAGCAACTTCTCTAATGATCCACGCAATCAGTAACTACATATTTGCTCAAAACATGAACATAATTATTGAGCTAATTTTATAAAAATTGAGTTCAATAATTAATGTGAACATATTAGGCGCTACAAACTTCTTTAACTGCTGAAAAGCATACCTACATTTACAATATAAAACTTGTTAATATATATTAAGAGCTTTATGGCACTGTTTCTCTTACTCTTTTATTTCCTGTAATACTGATATTTCAAAATACCTTATATAACACTGATATTTTTTCCTCAATAATCAAATTAAGTCTTAGGTTTTTGTTCGTAATAAAGCAACGAGTTTATAAAATTTTGATTCTATCTAACAAGTTTGGCAAATATTTTTTTTAAATTCCATACTTTCGTCTATAACGTGTAAATATATGTAAATAAATTTTCGTTTGATCTTAATTGTTTTTATTGTATGTAATGCAATGTTGAACAATAGTTAAAGCTGTCTAAAAGTTATGTACAATAGCAATTAAAATTAATATTATGTAAATATATTTCAATAATTCAAAATTTTAAAATTCGTTCCAATCTCATCAAAACTTTATTAAATATTTCATTTTTTATGACACTATAAGATTTTTGTTTGCTTTTATATTTATAAGGTTAGCCTACATTAAATGAAACTATACATAATTGATTATTTAATTTGATTAAAAAATTTATGTTTTTAAATTTTAATCAAACTTTTGCATTAGGAATTTTTTTAAAATTATGTAATGTAATTTTGAAAAGTAATTAATGGTTATAGTTAAGCAAAAAAATTATGTACCGATATTTTTATTGCTTGATAACTATAATTTATTTGATAATTAATTTTTTCAGAAATAATAAGCTACAACAAAATTTCTGGTAAATAACTGTCATAATATAAATAATCACAACAGTTTTGCAAAATGCGAATGTTCAACACCGATAGAAAACTTGGTTCATGACTGAGGCTGATTTGAACCAAATTATCATGCAAATTTGCTGCCATCTTAATGAGATGCTAAAATGAACCATATATCTGAGTCTTGTTACCGGGCACGTGAGTGAATGAATGATTGGCTTGCACTATATTAAAGTTCAACTTCTAAATTCACTTGTTAACTTATTAAAATGGCAGCAAATTTGCACGATAATAGGGTTAACATGATTCCTTCCTTCAGTAAGTGTATTTCATGAATCTTCAAGTTATCAGAAAAAACTACAAATGTTGCTTATTATTATTATTTTTTAACTTGAACATATTTCAGCCAAAATTAAAATTTTTAGTGTCGATCACCCAATACAATAAATCGATTGTTTCAAAAACTGAGTCACAATAACAACTAATTTTCGCCACAACCAATAATTTCCGAAGCGAAAATGAAATGAATGCATTTCTAAATCACAATCATCACTTTTACAACATCGAATATGCGTGGGATAAAACAGACGCGATAATGGGTGATGGAATCGTAAAGCGTTTAAGTGGAATAAAAGGAATATCACGATTAATCAGAAGCTGCTTGAAGCCTGGATGGCAAGAACTGGCTGAGGAAATCAATGGGTAAAGGGAAAATGATGGTGGAGTTCTTCTCGGCAGAAATAGTGTTTAAGGTCTGCAAATACCGAAGCTGAAGAGCAGCTGGCGATTGGGCAATTACATCAGCAGCTTCCTTCAAAGCACGAGATGCTTTCTGTTCTCCTTCTGCGGCAATAACCTGCAAAGCAATATTTTTCAGTCGTTGTACAATACAAAATCAACATGTCGCAATAAAAATATATAGTTATAGCTCTAGCAAGATCACGCAACAATTGACGTGAAGTTTAAGATACAAATACACCACTAGAAGTATTGGAACTTGTTAAACCGTAATATGGTGCAAATTTCATTTAATCTTAATAAAATTTTAAGTTGAGTTTTTATCTTTCAAATTTAATTACAATATCGTGAATTTGTGATAATTTTTAGCAGGATATCTGTTACGGCACAATTCAACCATGTCTCATTTCTTAATGGATCGAGCCTGAAAATCACGAATTTACTAATTTTTACAGAAAGAAGCAAAATTTGTTGAATACGTTCATAAGTACGTAATGTTGAAGATTTGTCAGTTGTTATATAATACTAAATCAACGTGTTGCAATACAAAAATATAATTATGGTTCTAAGAAGACCAATCGCCAACTGACCAGAGGTTCATGATACAACTAAGCTGTTAGAAATTTTGAAACTTGTTGAACCATGCTATCGTGTAAGTTTTAGTTAATCTTAATAAGTTAATCTTTTTCCCTTTCAAGTTTAACTACATAATATCGTGAATTCAAGTTCTTATTTAGCAGGAAATCTGTTACGACAAGAACCGCTCCCTCTGCCTTAAATTCACTTGGTTTCACAAAGCAGGCTTGCTGTTATTTGGCAAGTCGCATTAGAATCAACAACAATAAAATAACTTCATTATACCTTAGCTCTAGCTTCTCGAGCAGCTTCAGCTTCTGCTGCCATGGCTCTCTGCAACTGAACTGGTAGGCGAACGTCTTTTCTGTAATTGTCAACAAAAATGATTTGTTAAATATCTGTTTTAAAGTTCATTTTTAACTTGATCAGTTATAATAAAAATACTTAAATTTCTCTTCTAATTACGCAAATTAATTAGTACTATAATAGATTTAATTAATGCATTATTTTATTATATGATAATTATGATATGATACCTAATGATAATTTAGGTACATATAAAATCAAATAAAATTTAATAAAGATAATTTATAAAATAAAGTAATATAAAGAAAGTATATAAAATAAAATAAATTTAAAAAAGATAATTTATAAGTTCCTTTTTATATCAACATGGTAGTGCTTCTTCTTTAAGCAAAAAAAAAAGGGGAATAAAATTACAGTGGAGCATCGTTTATACGACGCCGAAGGGACCACCGAAAAACGTCGTATAAACGATAACGTCATATAATCGATNTTTATATATCTTTATCTATATATCTTTATCTATTGTAAAATATATTTTTATGCTTTAATCTACTATGAATTAATAGTTTAAGTTCAATACTAAAAAATTGAGAGATGAATGTTGTTTTTATTCAAAGCTCATTTTTAAGAAAACTGTTAAAATTTTTCCTTAAAATACTTTTTAAAATTTTTTTGTACCCTGTGTTATTTAATTTAATGAAGAATTAAAATAGGAGTAATTACTCACATTTCGACTCTTTCCACTTTAATACCCCAGCGATCTGTCGCTTCATCCAAGCAGTTCTGGAAAAAATTAAATTTTGTACATATTTTAAAAATCTTTTTTTTAAGAAACGGAAAATTTAGACTTATAAATATAATAATAATAATGGTAATAATATAGGAATGTGTCAAATAAATATCAAATGAGATGAGTGTTTTATATTGAGAAAGGTATTCGGATAGATTTTTGGTTTTGGAATTATAAATCTTTAAAAATATAAATTTTTAAGAGGAATTTAAAAAAAAGAAAAGCTTATTTTTTCGAAATGAGAAAAATTTCTTTAGTAGATTTTTTTAAATAATCAAGTTTTTTTTTAAAAAAAATCCTTCATATTTTTATCAAATCTTCATGATTTAATCAAACTCAAAAGATGATTTTTACTAGAAATTTAGAAATAGTTAGCTTAAAATTTTATTATTTTCGCTTAAATATTTCAGTTTAGACATTATAATTACTTAGTTCAGTTATTACATTATAATTACTTTAATATAAACCAAACCTTATCGCATATTTTCTTCTAATTTTAAGATCTGTTTTTAGATAAAACTTAAGTGACATTCTTATTTTATTTTATTCTATTCAGTGCAGAAGTAACGTTTATGAAAATTAAATTTTCCTATAGCAAATGAATCTTGTGAATCATGAAAATTTTATATTACTAAAATCCTGATGTTCAGAATCACTTTTGGTCAGAGGGGCACTTATATGGAATTGAATAAGGTGTTCAAATAATAAAACTTGTTATTGTTATTTTAAGCGCATTTCATTAGTTAAATAAATTAAGCAATTAAAATAATTGATTTAGTATTGCTATAATATCTAATTTATAATATATCCATTATTTTACGTGTTTTAAATTTTAAGAAGTTTTTTAGAATAAAAAGAAACTTACATAGAATTTGTCTCCACGAATAGACTTCAGGTTATTTACAAAAGAAAATTTACTATATGCAGGGTTAAATAACATCTTATGCTATTACTTGACTAAAAATTTCAGTCGCTTCAAAAATACATAAATAGAAATAACAATCGACATGTTTCAAGTGCTCAAACACAGGCGCTCATTCTTAAGACATGCCAAACATGAATAAGAAGAAACAAAAGTGCTTTGAAATATAAAACGTTAAGCTGCCAATGAAAAATTAAAAAATAAAGATGATAAACAAAACTAGAAAAACCATCAGCCAAGAGAGAAAAAAAAAGATAGAAAACAGAACAAGAAAAACCGCAGTGACCTAGAGAGGCAAATCAGGATAAAATGTATTTCCACGCGCTATGGAGAGGTGGTAAGTAACTGATGTTGCTAACAAGGGAATCAGTATTCATGTAAATAAATCAAGATTCCAGAGTTTCAAGATGAGATGATATGACTGGGGTGGAAATAATGTTGGCATTGACGAAATTGAATTTATGTCCAAAATATGTCTATTTATGCCTATTCTGCTTCTTCTATTCCAGTAACAGGCGTGCCCTTGAAAATTTGGTTATATTTATGTGTCGAAAGCAAATGCAGATCCTTTATTATATTCCTCTATATGCATGAATCAAAACAGATATAAGAAAATGCATGTATTGACAAAATGCAAAGTTCACTAAAAATTAACAGTAAAAGTAAATTCTATATGAAAATTTCATGAAATTTTTTATTGTATCCCGTTTAAAGATAGCACATAAAAAATTAAACTCGATTAAATCATTTGAAAAAGATCGTAAATTCTTTGGAATTTGTAAAACAGAAAATGAAATATGTGATTTAATCTTTTGAAAATAGAAATGCTAAATTAACCATTGTTTAACCTATTACGGTAACATTTATGATCGAATTGTTTTTTTTTTACATGGCTGAATGTAATTAAAAAAGATTAAAAAGAAATTATAAGAGAATTGAATTAATAGCTAAGAAATACTTGACATACAAAATATTAGGTTTGTCATATAAAATAAGTTTAAGAAACTCATTATTACGCCTTGTTTGAGTTTATTTGATCATTTAAAAGTTGGCGGATCAACGATTAAAAATATGTAGTTAACTAAATTTAAATCTTCAAAATTTAGTTTTTTTACGAAGCATAAAAAATTTCCATGTCTGAAAGTGTATTTATTTTATTTAAGAAGGAAATATTTTCATCAGTAATTTCAATTCAGCACTACACTGTAAAGAATTCAGGATCAAATTATGGTACAAAGTAACAGCACATTAGGTGCAACATCCATAAAATTCATTTTACGGTATTAGCATAGAATATTATACTGTAATTTTTACAGTAATATTTATTTCATTAGAGTGAAATAGTGATTTTACGGATAATATTATTGTAAAAATTACGGTACATCAGATTTTTCGTTTCGTAACATATTCCGGTAAAAGTGGATTCTACGGTGAAAAGTATCAGCTCCCTGATTACCGGTACTCTCACCGTAATGTGATCTGGAATTTTTTACAGTGTAATTGTTTTATATTATATGTTAGAATAATTGAGAAGGAATCATCTGCTTAGTTGTAAATACTCAACAAATTAATATTATTTATAATGGTATAAAAATACAGAAGAATTATGATTTGAATATTGGTTGTGCATTGAAAGACACTGCGCTGTTAACGATTTATGTTTGTTTAAATTTGCAACAAAGTTTTGATTGTGATCATATCTCCGAAGTTTAATTATCACTGCAAATTGTTAGATAAATTCTGATTATTATCCAGTAATAGTTTTGAGTTTAAATTCATTATTGCATTTAAATTGCTTCTTAAAATTTTTCATACATTTTAATATTATTTCATTTTAATAGTTAATCTATGACCTCGAGTTTAGTTATCCTAGTCATGAATCCAAATATTTTCCTTCCAATCCCGCGAATGAAAGAGATTATGAATAAATCAAGCTTAAATTGCACATTGAGTTGATTATAAATCATAATTCATAAACACTTTAGATTTCCAATTAATTATTATATAGATGAATCCCTTTCGAATGATCAGAATTAGTTCAGATGTTTGCATTGTCTCATTAACTTAGGATTATAGAACACAAACATGCTTTCGTATTGTTGTCGATAATTGGAAAGGGATTTCCCAGTTTAACAATTTCAATATTTGTAGCCAGATAAATATTATAAATATTTCGAGTGATAGTTTCTATTATGTTCGACAAATATGTATAAGGTTAATTTACTTTTAACTCATAGGTTACAAATTATTTTCTTTATGATGTAAGCTCTCAAAAACTTTCAAATACCTTATATTCATTATAAACGTAAAAAATCGAGCTAAAAATTATTTTAAAAAGAAGCAGCAACGCAAAATAAAAATATGGGAATAAATATGTAGGATTTAATAAAAGTTGGGGTAAAGTGTTTATGGTACTAAATTTTGAAATTAAAAGCTGTAACTCTTCATTATTGAATTTAATAAAATGTAAAAAATTGATACTCAAATAGTAAGAAACTTTTTTCGTTTTTGACGAAAACGTTTCCTGATACATACTTCGAGCAATAATTTTGTCAAAGTGACGAAGTAACTATCACCACTTCTTCGAAGTAACGAATTTCGTCAAAATTAGAGGAATATTTCGTTATTCCACTTCTTGCAAAAGGAAAAAAACAACAAGTCGTAGTGCCTAAAGTATCTAACTTTTATAATAATCACTTTATCGGGGGCACCATATAGGTGGATCAATGTCATCCGAAAACGTTTCCTGGTACATACTTCGAGCAATGATTTTGTCAAAGTGACGAAATCACTTCTCGAATCACTTCTTCTATCATCACTTCTTCGAAGTAACAAATTTCGTCAAAATTAAAGGAATATTTCGTTATTCTATTTCTTGCAAAAGGAAAAAACAACAACTCGCAGTGCCTAAAGTATCTAACTTTTATAATAATCACTTTATCGGGGGCACCATATAGGCGAATCAATGTCACCCGAACAACGCAAGAAGGACAGATAGAACAGAGATGTAAATTACACCCATGCCCGAAATGGGATTCTATCCTGGGATCTCCCTGGTACGAGGTCAACTCCTTGACCACCATATAAGACAGTTGGCTTTTTTCTTCACTCTTTTTTTGAGTGTCTAATCTTCATTCGTCATTCTAGTTAACAATATCTTACAAGGAAATTATTTTCAAAATTAACGAAATATAGCTCAACGATTGCCGAATCGTCAAAAAAGTGAGAGTTTTATTTCTGAAAGTATATTAACTTTTATTCCAGTTGTTAATAGTTAGTATGCAAAAATGTGCAAGTAGCAAGTATGTAGTTAGAGAAACAGTTTTATTTTTCGTTCGTGCTGCTGTTATATACTGTAACAATTCTATGAAATGTCGCTTTTTTACAGTATTTAATCATACTAAAAATATAAATACAGTACACTCTCGATTATCCATGAGCGGATTATCCGGTTTGCGGATTATCCGTGCTCCTTCCGGAGTCACACAAAAAATATAAAGAGAAACATTTTCAAGATTAAAAAAATTTGATTCATGAAGTTATAACACTACCAAATTTTTGGAAGCAATATTCGTTATTGGATTGNACTTCTTCGAAGTAACGAATTTCGTCAAAATTAAAGGAATATTTCGTTATTCTATTTCTTTCAAAGGGAAAAAAACACAAACTTGTAGTGCCTAAAGTATCTAACTTTTATAATAATCACTTTAACAGGGGCACCATATAGGGGGATCAATGTCACCCGAAAACGTTTCCTGGTACATACTTCGAGCAAAAATTTTGTCAAAGTGACGAAATAACTATCACTTCTTCCAAGTAACGAATTTCTTCAAAATTAAAGGAATATTTCGTTATTCTATTTCTTTCAAAAGGAAAAAAACAACAACTCGTAGTGCCTAAAGTATCTAACTTTTATAATAATCACTTTATCGGGGGCACCTTATAGGTGAATCAATGTCACCCGAACAACGCAAGCAGGACAGATAGAACAGAAATGTAAATTACACCCATGCCCGAAATGGGATTCTATTCTGGGATCTTCCTGGTACGAGGTCAACTCCTTGATCACCATATAAGACAGTTGGTTTTTTTCTTCACTTTTTTTGAGTGTCTTGTCTTCATTCTAGCTAACAATATCTTACAAGGCAATTATTTTCAAAATTAGCGAAATATAGCTCAACGATTGCCGAATCGTCAAAAGTGAGAGTTTTATTTCTGAAAGTATATTAACTTTTATTCCAGTTGTTAATAGTTAGTATACAAAAATGTACAAGTAGCAAATATTTAGTTAGAGAAACAGTTTTATTTTTCATTCAGGTTGCTGTTATATACTGTAACACTTCTATAAAATTTCTCTTTTTTATAGTGCTTAATCACACTAAAAATATGAATAGTTTCATACATTTATAAAAAAAGTTGTCTTTATTTGCAGACAATTTACAATTATTATAAATAATATTTACGAATAATTTTAGTTATGATGAATGATTAAAAATTAATAGGAATATATTTATGAGGAGAATTACCTGCATGATATAATTCTTTTCAATGAACCCAAAATTGTTTTCCTTTTTTTTAATTTTAATATTGCTCTTTTTTGAAAAACCAATAATTTTTTATAACATCTACCTAAATGCCTCGATAGGACAAGTAAAACTTTTGATTTAGGTAAGATATCAAAATAGCTTTTACTGCATTTTTATGTTATTATTTTGTAATACGCTCATGATATGCCTGTTTCATGAATCATAAAGTACACTGTTAGAATTTTGTCTTTAAAATAATGGTAAAATAACCGGCAGTAGTCTGTCCATCCAACTAACCGTAAAATGTACGGTAAATTTTTTTTTAACCTTTACGGTTATAAAACCATGAATACAAAAATTATATGGTTTTTAACCATTTACAACTAGTATGGTTTCAAAATTTAAAAAAAAAACAGGACATGGCAGATAGTTTAACAGCTATATGGTGCTGCCATCTATGCGTGAATGAGAGTATCGTATTTAAATATCTTAAGGTCACAAATTAAGGAATGCAGGATACTAATAACTCTTCGTGTGTTTAAGGAATTGGAGGAAATTTGTGGTATCAACGCTGGGATTCGCAAATTGACAGATTAGCTTTCTCAGCTATAATGAGTAGCCAACTGCAAGGAACTAAGTGATTTCATTAGGTGGGGACTAGTTGGTGCGATAAAATTCTGGCTGTTTAACCGTATTAGGTGAAAGTAGTAAATAACCAGTTTTTTTCACAATTTACAGTTTGAATACCATATTATTAATGGCTATTTGACTGTTTTGTTTGAATATGATAAAATAACAATTAAATAAATTGTTATTTAACCATTTTTTCCAAGCAATTTCTACCAGTGTAAAGTTTTCTTTTATATGTTAAATAATAAGACGCTAAACAAATGCTAGTCTTACCTGCATAGTGTTTGAGATGGTTTCCCTGTCAGCAAGTATTTCATGAAGATGATGCGTTCCTAGCATATTTCGCAGTGTTGTTTGGGCCAGCAGTCTTGTGCTGTGATGCGCGTTTTCGACATTTGCTACCGATACAGTAGCATTATGTACACGGTAGTACACTACAGCATCTACGGATACAGTTACCGAATCTTTCGTCAGGACCTAAATAAAAGATAGTTATATTTGTATTCGTTAAATGAAAGTCACACTTATACCTAATATAAATTCATATTCTTTCTTTAAGAAAAACTGTCGCATGAAGTTTAATGTTACAAACTTATTTTTTATTGATAATTTATAAAAATGATTTGAATTATGAAATAATTAATAACAATAAGCATTCTTACTCGTAAACATTATCATAAACAAATTTTATAATAAAATATTTTATAATATATAACTGAACTCATTTAATTTTCAGAATGTATAGCGCATCAATTGAAGGTCACGAATATGCGTTTAAAGCCCTTTCACACTATAATTAGGAATATAACTTTTAATACGAAGTTTCATTAGCCCAAAAATGTTTTTTTTCTTTCCAATTTGTAGGAGGAATCGGGATAAGACCGGGTAGCTAAGATTTGAATGCCTGTTGGAATTAAACTGTTCGATCTAGAAACTGTCAGATTTATACATTTAGTTGTATACAAATATATCCTTCTTGAAAAGTCATTGATGTGCTATTTTTTTATAAATGATTTATTTTTCTAAAAAAATTAAATCTAAGTCATGTTCTGCTAGTGGAGTAAGACTGGGTTTAGACGTTAACTCTACGGGGAATTTAAAAATAATAGAATCAATGAAAAAGTTAGTGGTATTTTTATTATAAAGGCAATTTAGGAATATTATGCCAGTTTACATGTGAGTTAGTAAAATACAGCTATTTTTCAGTCAATATTGAAGTTTTATATAATCATAGAATAACATAAAAATATTAGATTGTTCGAAGAGTAATTTCATCTTTTCCCAACAGAGTACTACTTTATTGCATTTTTTCACAACTAACTTCAAAGTTAAGTCGTATAATGATTGTAAATTTTGAATGCTGATATAAGAAGGCTTACTTGTGAAAAAATTCAGTTGATTCTTCGCAGCAGTTTCTGGTTGGTGTCCTTTCAAATATGGAAATTTGAAAAGCAGCTTAGTTTAGTTTTTTACTATTGAAAATATAAATATGATGTTCAAGCAAGAAAAAAATTATCTATGTGTATGACAATACGCTTGTGCTTAAACTGGTTTGCGAATTATCAATCGGACGAGACTTTAATCAATATGCACGACGATTCAATGAGCCAAATTAGGCTGGCTAAGGGATAATAGAGGCATGAATTGATACAAATTAACGAATAACAATTCCCGAGATCCTTGAGAAATTAAATTTGTCGAATTCGCCCGTTTCGATTCGAAACGCCTAGGCTTATTCTTAAAGTACCACACATCGGTTCCTCGTGTGCTTAGGGAGAGGGATTTGCGTCGCTGAATTAGACGTCTGTGACTTGCTTTTCAAATGTCAAAAAAATTATCCATTTTCAAAGAGAATCTTTACTAGGGGGCGAGAAATGAATAGTCTACAATATTAGTTCAGTTCTCTACAAAAACGCTTAAACAATAATGCCTTTACTTTATCTGAGGTGAAAAATTTTCTGGATTATTTTTTTGCCAGTAAAGAACAAAAATTTTATGTGTTAGGAGTCATGCTGTATGCTAGAACGTATTTAACCAGAAGGGACAATATATAATTCAATAAAATAGTCATTCAATATAAGAGAATCGTCTTTAATTTTCATAAGGAAAAAACGAAATTACTTTCCGAACAACCCAGTAAATTACCTCTTGGGGTGGAACATCAAATGTGAGGGTTCTAAGATCAACCTTTGTGTAGTTTTCAATGCAGGGTAAAATGAAGAAAATCCCTAAAAAAAATTTAAATAAGAGATATTGTATTGTACCTATCTTTGTAATAAAAAAGTTTTATGTATAGCATACTTTTGACACACGTAGTAAAATGCTTAGATTTAATTTAAGTTTGAAAACTTATAAATTTAAAACGTTTTTCTACAAAATAAGCCATATCCAACACTGTATCTGTGTATTTAAAGTTTTTTGTTCGTATGTTACAAATATGTTTTTAATTTTATTTAAAATATTAGCTCTATTAAAATAAATTTCTTTCGTTTACATTTTTTCCTTAGAGTATTAACTTTTTTGTTCGTTTCATCTGTTTGAATATAAGTAGTTTTAATATTATTTCCTTTAAAATAAAAAAAGTAAGAAAGAAAAAACCTACCTGGTCCTTTTGATCCTCCATGTAACAGTCGTCCAAGTCGGAAAATAACAGCTCTTTCATATTCTTGTACAACCTATGTAATGACATACTATGTAACAACATATAGTAACTAAAAACTAAGAAAGATTTATTTCTACATAGCGAAAAGCCTAAAAATAAACAGTTTATAACGTTTTTTCGTATGAGCGATATTTCATAAAAGTAGCCATCTTTAAAAGAACATTTTACCATACAAATCATACTTTTGGTGACCTCACTAGATTATCTGCTTTTAATTAGGTCTTCCATGGTTCAGATCTAACTTCATGAAACATAACTTAGTCACATCCAACTTCTTCAATGTGGAACGTCAATGTGAAACTGTAACATTCTCACTTTTAACCACATTTTTATTTTAAGGTTAAATCTAGCGACGATAAAGAAAAGTAAAGTAAAAGACTTCACCGTCAGATTACGGTCAGAGACCCAACAAAAGTTTTTCGAATTACTGACCGTAAAAATAAATTTATGTCAGTAAAGCTATCATGACAAATAACTACTGGTCTGTTATTAAAATTTTTTTCTTGTAAAATATATGGTCAATATGGTAAAATATATGGTCATATATGGACTGTAAATTAACAGTATGATCAAAAAAGGCTGGGCCTGTCGCTGTTAGAGAATAAAGCGATTTTTTTTGTTGAACCAACGTCAGCCGTCGAATGAAGATGCATATTGCTACCATTACTCTGAGGAATGGAAGAATTGAATGTCTGTTTTTAATGGTCACTAGTGTTAGAAGAGTAAAAAAGTAAGAATTTAAAGAGTAAGACGAGATGTTCCTTGGTGGGGGATAAAATCAAACCCGGGACCTCTGGCTCCATGGCCAGATGCTATAATGAAAAATGTTTTGCACCCCGATCTCGATGAATTAAAAGCTACATTTCACAGAGTTTTTGCTTTGTTTTATTTGAAATGAGAGAGCTGGCCGTATAAATGAACGATCCGTTCTACTAATTCTGCTGAAGTTCGTTACAATTATGAACATAGGTTTTTTCCCCGTATAAATAACTGGTGAACTCTTCTAATTTTGCTTATTTCTATTACATTTAGGGGTAATTGACTTTTTTTCTTTATCAGAGTTAGGAGCTGGACATATAAATTAACGGTCAATTTTCAGAATTTTATGGAAATTTCTTAAAGTATTCATAAAGTAGCTTAATCTTTGAAGGAAATAAGATCATTTTTAGTTGAGGAACATGTACCACTGCTGCGCAGTTCCGTGATTCTGTTTTCGCCTTTGCTTCATAACTACTTCAGTAGTATTATTTCATGAAGTAACACCGAGCAATAATAAAGTTTTGGACAAACTTAGACACCCGAAATGCAATTATGATAAATACCATATACAGAAGAAGATGTCTGCTTCTAAGTCTTTTTGCTGCTTCTCAGAGTACATTTACAGTTGAAGAGTTCACAGAGTACAAATACATATTAAAGATCTCAAAAGTAACTAAAAGAATTAGTTTATTAATTGATTGCTTTACAGGAACTGTATCGTTAATTTTATAAATATGTACATGTAGGGTACAGCTCAGTGAATTGGACACTTGTCGCCTGTTTTGATCTTGTATAATGTAAAAAAACGAACAAATCAAATATTAAGGCTGTAAATATCAAGAAAATTTTGTTGAAAATTGCAAAAAAGAAACTGCTATTAATATTTTGGTAAGGAAAAAACAATATTTCAACTTATAAATTACCCTTTTTATTATGCAACACATATGGATTTCACAATTCGATATTCTCCATAATGTTGCAACACATTTTGATTCGATATTAATGCCTTAGCAGATCGAATTAAAAAAATGGATTTTTAATTTTATAAATTAACTTCAATTTTAGTTGTTCAATGCATTTCTTTTTATGTTTGAAGCATAAAATCGAAGCTGACGAATCGAATTACTTCAATTTCTAGACCGTTAATTGCGTTTGCTTGAACATTTTTCAAAACTAGTCAAAGGCGGAGCTCAAAAGAGTGAGCTACTGTTATGAAAAATGTATACTTCGAATCGAAGATAGATGTTGCGTGAAAAATTGTGCATCGATCATTGCAAAAACAGCACGCGATTTCTTTTATTCCCTTCAATATTTATGAAGTTTTGAAAATGTTTCAACAACAATAACTTAAAGACTTTGTTTTCGAATATCATTTTTGCTTTAGTGAATGTATATCTTTTTTTTCTTCAGTTTTTCATTTCCATTTTACAAATGACATGGCTTAGCGTGTTTCGAGCAAGGATTAAAAAAAAAGTTTCTTCTGGAGAAATATTAGCGAACTTAAATAATAAAAATAACTTGATTATTATTATTATCTTTTATTTATTATCTGAAATTTTAATATGCATTTATATGTCAGAGTAAAGTGTTGATGTCCAATACTTAGATTTTTGCATTAGTCTGAGATGAAATATGGGTCTAGCATTAGAGATTTACTAGATTTTCCAAAACCAAGAAGACTTATAATGGCATATATTTATATATAATGGAAAAAATTACAAGTCCTGGCTTTATAATAGGTATTTTAAGGATTAAATAGCATTTAATTAGCCATATTAAGCTCTTTAGCAAGATAAAATTAAATAAAAAAAATTTTATTTTACTCATAGTTCTATTAATATTGTACACTATTTTAACAACAATTTTGCTCGGCGTAATTAATCTTACTAATTTATCAATTACAAAAAAAAAGATTAATCAAATGAGAGTAAAATGCAGGTTTCATGTTACATAAAAAATAAGAATTGGTTGATTTTATTTAAATTAATTAATTTATTTATTTTTAGTTTTCATTAAGTATTAAAATTATAAAAAAAAATGTTTGAACATTTCGGAAATTCACCATTTTGCTCTTTGAAGGGTCGATTTTGAGACAAAAAAATATCAAAACTTATAAAATTATGTTTTACGAATAAAATGGATAAATAATTTCTTATTTTTATAACTTAAATTAAAAAAAGAAATTTGGTGCATTTTTAAAAGGATATGACATGAATACTTTCGTGCATTATTACATAAGCAATGGCCATGTAAAATTTACATACGGGAGCCTTTCTGCCGTTAGTGGTAATATCAAAAACTGACAGTTCCCCGAGGCCCCATAATGGATAAAGAAATAAGAAAAAGCAATTCCAAAAATTGAAGTATAAGTGCAATGAAAAATTAATGATAAACAAACACAATTTAAAAATACACAGAGTAAGACTTAATAATGATGCTCCCACTTATAACTGTTTCACTAATAGATTTATTTATTATTGCAAATTATCTTACTTTAATGGTGAAAAAGATGGACAGAGGAAAAGTAGCAACAGCAATTATCATCGACAAAATAGTCAGAATCCATCCGCAAATTCCTATTCCATGATCAGACGAATCAGCTATAAAAGAAAATTCAATCATTTAATGATAACAACCGAATTAAAGTTGAAAATAAAAATCAAATTGTTATTAGCTTTATTATAAAAAATATTTTTAAAAATAAATGGCGTTTGAATGACTTTCAGTTCTCTCAAAAATAAACTTCCATTTATGTACTTCCATTATTCAGTAATCCAGAGCTGTATTTCATAATTTTTTTAGCTTATCATGTAATTTCTGAAAAAATAAAAACTTTAAAAAATTCTCACTCATGTGATATCTCAGTTCATTCTTGTTTTTGGTTCTATTCAATTTTGTTTTTGGAAAAAAAATAGAATGATGAAATATTTCTTTACTTTTGAGGGAATTCGTTTCCTCTAAAAAGTGAAGATAGTTATTTCGTCACTTTGATGAAATTTTTGCTTGGAGCACATATAAGACATTGGGTTTCGTCAAAAACGAAGAGTTTCTTGATCTAGACTTTTTACAGTGATCGCTCGCATCATATGACGTGGTGGTAGAGGATATAGTGATCTTGCTTGCGAACCAGGATCTCCGTGTTCGATTCTTGGTTATGAAGGCTTACTTTTTTTCGTAAAATCTTTTTATTGTATATTGCATTCCCTAAATCAATGTGTAAATGATGTGCAGCATAAAGCATAATATTTTTGATAAAATTCTTATCTTCAAGGAAGTAAAGAAAGTAATTCCTCAATTTGCTGATTAGTTCAGCTAGCAAATTCCACAGGAAATGGTTTTGTTACAAATTTAAAAAAAAAAAATACTTCATAAATTTTAAATATCCATATTTTTTTAAGTACAATCTTAAATATCTCATATCAAATTACGGTAAAAAGTACCGGTACCAAAAGTACCAATACGTTTTACACAAAAATGTATTTTTACTGTAAAGTTTTGCGGAAGAAACTGTAAAGTTTACTGTAAAGTTTTGTGGAAGAAACTGTAAAGTTTACTGTAAAGTTTTGCGGACGAAACTGTAAAGTTTACTTTAATGTTTTGCGGATTTTACGGATGATGCCCTCAAAATCTGGTACTTTTTACCCGAAATAGATTTTACAGTGTAGAACAGCATTTTTATATTAACAAAACACAATTTTTAAATTCAAACTATACAAAATAAGAAAACTTAATAATTCTTTAACAAAATATAATTTTTCTATTGATATAAACTTTTCGTATTCAATCGAAAGTAATAATTTTGTATAGACCTTAACAATAAATTAATACACCTTAACAATAATTAATAAGTGCACCTTAATATGCTAATAATCTATTGAGGTCTTTCTTATTATAACATCTATTTCAAATTGAAATCGTAACATGAAGTTGGATTTAACTTATTTCATTAAGAGTTGACATTTCAATAAATATATGTATATAAAGATATCAATAACTTGGATTTTTAAGACTTTAAAATTTGATTCATAATTGCTATTTTAAGTTTCAAAAATCAGGAATTTTGCTTTTTACTAATTAGTACTAGAAAAACATATTTGGACAAATTTGAACTCTTGGGCTCTTTTGAATTTCCATCTTTGTGAAACGCCCTTAACTTTGATAAATTAAATGATTTTCATTACCAGTAGAGATACTCTTAGAAATGAAACTGTCACTTTTAACGATCCAGAAATCTTTGAACAGTATTTTGTTTCTTTTGATAATTATTTCGTCTCAAAATCACGTGATTTGTGATGAAACGTGAACTCTCTCATATATATGAGTAAATTTTTCCTCAACTCGGAACCCAATCCCAGTGCATTATGGGAGAATTTTAACTAAAATGAAGACTAGATGATCGGAACTAGAAGGACAAAGTAAGGCGACCGATTTGAATGGTGGTCAAGGAGTTGAACTTATACTAGAAAAATCCCGGGTTCGACTCCCGCTTCAGACATGTATATACTTAATCTCCCCGTTCTGTCTCTCGTTCTTGCATTTTTGGGATGAAGTTGATCTACCTGTAGTGCTCACGAAATAGTGATCGACAATACAGAGATACCGTGAAGCCCTAGTAGTGTCTCATGATATCATTTAGCATAGTATCTAATGGTATTTTTTTTAGAAAATAATTGAAAGAAGAAATATTACGAAAATTACTTTAGATGAAATTCGTTACTCGTTTCACTCGTTCGACGAAATTTTCGCTCGGATCATGTACCAGGAAACGGTTGCGTTAAAAACGAAAAAAGTTTGTAATGTTTGAGTCTCCATTTTTTTCAGTGCATCTCTTAAATTTATTATTATTTTTTCTAGATCTTTAAAAACATTTTATTTGATTGAAGATTTTTATTGAAGATTTATTGATTTTTTAAATACTCTTTTCGTATGTTTCAAAGTTAACCTAAGCTAGTTAATTTTTTTTAAACTTTCCTTGAAACTAAATAATAAAAAATAAATGTAAAAGCTTATTATCCCAATGCAGCAAGCTTGTTAATTTACGTTATAGGTAGCTACATAGTTACTTTATAGTTACATAAATGAAAAAAATTTTAATTTGTTTCATCACTCCTGAGGCGATTGAAACTCTGTGACAGCAACAGAAATTTATATTTTATGTAAACCAACAAAACACTGCAAACAATTCCGGATCAAATTACGGTAAAAAGTATCGATACTCAGGGTGCCGGTACTTTGTACCATAAAATCCACTTTTACTGAAACATGTTACCGAAGAAAACATCTGATTTACCGTCATTTTTAGAGCAATGATAACCGTAAAATCACTGGATCACTCTAATTAAATATTACTTTGAAAATTAAGGTTTAATATTTTACAGTAAAAAGGAATTTCACAGTAAAATGTATCTTGTGGATAATGCACCCAATCTACCTTACACCGTAATTCGATCTAGAATTTCCTACAGCGCATATGATTTTTAAAAAAATTTCATATTTTAAGAATTTAAATTAAATTAGTTAAATTTTCAGTTAACTAATTTCGTACTTTTTATCTGAATCAAAATATTTATGATTTTTCTGATATGAAATCATTATGGTTTTGAGGTGATTAAAGTATATGACAGTATCAGAAAAAGTTATTTATCTTATAAAACTTAGTATATCTTTCTGTTATTAATTATTTTAATTTGTGAAAAATTTGGCATGAAAATTTAATTCTTATGACTATAGTTTCTTTAGCTCAATGTAACTACTTATGATTTAATGGTCTGAAGCAATTACTGCTTTGAGGTTTGTAAAAATATGAGTCAGCATCAGAAAAACGACCTATCCTAAAATGAACTACTTAGATTTTTTAAATTTTTTTACATGTTTTGGAAATTTATGCAAAACTGATTTGATTTTTATTATACCATTTTTCTATTTCAAACAAAATATTGAACTTATGAAATAGTAATTTTATGAAACGTGATTATGAAAAATGAATTTTCATAAATTGATTCAGTAACTATACAGTTATACCCAAATATAGGAAAAAGCTTACTTTTACATACATTTAACAGACATGACCAGTTTCTCTATCGCCAACAGCATTAACTATAAGCATACATTTGAAATTTTATTTAAAAATTTTGCTAAAGGGTGTGCTTAGTAGTAGAGCTATGTAGTTAACTTTAATTACTTTTTGCTTTGCATAGTTTGAAATAATTTCATTACGTTTTTGGTATAAAATATTAACTCCATGAAATAATAATTTTCAAACGTTGATTAATTAGTTATGCAACTATATTTACCATATGGAAAAGCTTACTTTACCGTACATTTATATGACATGAGCAGACTTTTTATCTCCAATAAAACAATCAAATTATGAGCATAGATTTTAGGTTTGTTTCAAAATTTTAATAAATTATGTTCTCCTTCTAGAATTTAGTAGTACTAGTAGTTATCTTCAGCAGTGTAGTTATCATTATTAACTTTGTTATTTAATAACCGTGTAGCTACTTTTATTAACTTTATGCTAAACTGTTCACTTGTTCATGTGATTTTCATCCTAATATTATAGTAATATAACAGGCAGCAGTCTGCCCATCTGATTTAATCATAAGGTTTTCGGTAAAGAACATTTTTTACCTTTACGGTTTTGAAACTATTTACAACTAGTATGGTTATAAAACCATGAATTCAAAACTATACGGTTTGTTAAACCTTTACAACGAGCATGGTTTTAAAACCGTAAAAAAATTAACTACACATAGGAGCTAGGCTTTTCGCGAGGCAATGGTCTTCGGAGAGCGTAGGACACTGGAAACTCTTCATGTGTTGAAGAGAATTAAAGAGATATTGTGATGTCAACGTTGGGATTCGAACCTCGGTTCCATTGGTTATGAGTCTGATAGATATCAGATAGATAATAATCTTATATATCTTATAGATATATCTGATAGATAATAATATGATATATCTTATAGATATATCTGATAGATAATAATCTGATATATCTGATAGATATATCTGATAGATAATAATATGTACGCAGTTGCAAGGAAGTAAGTAGCTTCATTGGGTGGTCTTAGTTAGTGCGAAAAAATTCCAGTTGTTTAACCATATTAGGCGAACAGTTAATAAACGGTTTTCTCACTGTTAACAGTTTGATTACTAACTTAGTTATAGTTATTGGGTTGTTTTATTTCATTATGGTAAAATAATGATTAAATAAATTGCCCATTGTTAAACCATTTTTTTCGAAAAATTTGTAACAGTGTTTAACAAAGTTTAAAAAAAAACTCTATTTACGGCTTTGGCATGCAAAAGTGATTAATTACTACAATGAAATATGCAAAAAAATTTACATTTTTATTTATTTTTTTAACATAACCAGTCTCTTTATCTCGAATAAAAAAATTAAACTACATGCATATATTTAAAGCTTTGTTAAAATAATTGTTTTAAAATTCGTTTTCCTCGTAAAAATTATAATATTTCTTTAAAATTATCCTCCGCATTTTATTTATTAAAGTTACATTCTTGATGCTTGTAAATGGAATAATATTCTAATTTTTCAGAAAGGTTATGCTTAGAATAAAATTTTTTTACAGGA